TCTCTCGCTCCCCTCCATCTTCTCGTCCCCACCCCTCCCCAACCCCGTCCCCACCCGCGCGCCTCCCGCCTCGCTCCCCTCCCTTCCTTCCCCTCCCTTCCTTCCCCTCCCTCTTCCTTCCCTTCCCTCTTCCCTTCCCAACCCCGTCCACCTCCCCCCGGGCACTAGCGACTAAACGAGAACCCAAGCATCGGAGATGCTTTTGGGAAAACACCCCGAAGAAGAACAAGGTTCAATGAGCGAACTGGCCCACCCTCTAAAGCACAAAATGAGAGCACACACATGAGAGCGCTGTGCCTTTCACAAAATTTGCACTTGGAGGTTCACAAAGCGCTGCGCCTGCCACGAAATCTGCACATCAAGATTCACATCGCACAGCCTGCCAGTGTGTTTCCCAACAAAAGCACTTCGAAAGACAAGTTTGAGATGCCAAAACGCAGCCCAAATTCTCAAAACAAAATCCACGTGTCCAAAGTTCACGATTGACTGCACCTGCCACGAAATCAGAGCACGCCAAAGACCACCCAAGTCCAAAGCGTTGCGCCCACATTGAAGCAAAACGGCTCCGATCTCCTGCGCCTGCCGCGAAAAGCCAGACGGTTGATGTGCCTCACCACCAAGTCCGAAAATGCACAAGGCACTCACAAAGAGAACGCATTCTCGAGGAAAGCACCCGCTCCCAAGAGGCGCTGTCAACATGTACCTCGCAGCCGCCCGTGAACATCCTCGATCAAAGCCATCAGCCAATACCGTGATCACCCCCGTGTGACCACACTGTGTGGGGTGTGTTGATGCGCCTTTGAACTGCTTAAAGTGTGTTCGACAGGTCAGACTGCTTGTGTTTCTCACCGATTTGGCCTTTTAGTCGCACTCGGACTTGTTTGCAAGCACACTAAATAATGGCATTGGAGATCCTCACCTAATTTTGCCCCCCCAAACCTGTCCATACTACACGGTGTGGAATATGAAGTTTGGCGCAGCAATCTCCAGACTGACCGTGCAGGAAGAAAATATCAATCTGACGATTGACATGCTGCAGAGAAGCAATAGCCAATAGCCAATACCTGCAAGTTTGCTGCCACACCTTCCGAAACAGGCAGGTTTCATGCTTGGTCCATTGCACGTCGTTACGTCATTGAGAAAGTGTATATGACAAGATCACGCATTTGCAAGATGTTGCACCATATAAATCAGTTTGATTCTCACCAAGCCCTCATCGTTTCACCCTTACTCATGGCAGCCCAGCAGCAAGAGGCTGCAAGAGGCTCAAAACTCTGTCTCACTCCAAAGGTGAAAGAATTAGTCATTGTAACTGAATAGAATGGTTAGGTGTTTAGCAATATCGTATGTCCAGCATGTTTTTTGCCATGCGCAAGGGAATCTTGAGAAGCAGGAAGCCGCTCAGAGGCGGAGCCTTCAAAAAAGAAGAGCAATTTGAGTCCGAGATCAGCGTCAGCTAGCTTTATCTGGCTCAAGTTGATGGCTTGAGTTGCTAATTTACGAGGCCTGACCCCTCCTCTCAAGCTCAGCTCCCGTCCCCAAAGTTCGTTCAAGTTTCCTCATTTTCTCTCGAAGTCATGAGCTCCATAGGTCTATCTCACCGTTCAGATTGCTCACGTTGTTGGATAAGCTTCGCAATTTTGTGTTTTTTGCAACTTGGGAAACGGATCGCCACGAGAGACTCTTAGATCCGTTCCGACATTGGGGCTATCGGGTCCTTTGGGCCAAGTTGTACAGAAGCAAATACAGAAATGCTGTTGAGGCTGTCGCACACTGTCCGGAATGGCTGAAACGTGCAGGATTCTCCCTTCTCACAAGCATCACACGCACTTGTGACTTGATGATTGTACCTTATATTATGATTATACCGACGGCTGCGTTACCTACTATATATATATATATATCGCCATATATATATATATAAATATATAACATATATATAATCTCTATATATATATATAAGTTATGTTAAGTTCCATGGTTGGATGCTGGCTAGCGGCTAGCTCATCTCTTTTTGCAATCTTATCGTCCAGCTCGTGTGTTTTCTCCGCGCTCAAATTCACCGAGCTGCCCTCAATACCTTATGTAAAGGGTGTCCGTTCACACTATCTATTGGCCCATAGGCAAGAGCGGGTGTTCATTGTCCCACACGGTCTTTGCGTTTTTTGGTTCAAAAGACAACTCGGAATATGGAGCCGCATTTGCCGGGCATCCCGGACAAGCATCTTGGATGCAGACACACACACACACACACAAGAGGAACTCCACACCTCAAATCCGCTTCGAAATATCAGGTTTGAAATGGTTTGAGCTTGTTTGCTGCACAGATGATGTGGCAAATTGTTCCCATCCATGCAAGGCACAGCATGGAAGATGAGGACAACCCTGGAGATGGGAAGCCGCAGGACGAAAGACCACGGAAGGATTTTGGGGGCAACAGCAAGCCAAGCTTCCGTGTCACAGCGAGGAAGTTCGGCCCGGAACTGGTTAGAAAATGTTAGTAAGTATGTTACAGGCCAAAGCTTAAGTCGTTTCCTTTTTCATCTTTTGCAGACCCCAACAGGAAAACCTGTACTCAGGAAGTCGTGCCTTTTGCATGATTCTGCTTGTGATTGCTATGTGTTTGGCAATCGTCGTTTTCAACACATGTTTTTCTTTTCAAGATGCGGTGCCATGCAGGTTTGTTTTGTTTGGGTTGATGTTGGGTGGGTGTACATTTCTTCAAAGAAGTGGCGGTGCCATTGCTTTTTTAAGTTTTGGGTGAGACAGCTGTCATTTTCTTGGAGATTGGGAGATCGGTTTCGCCATGATCCTGGAGTGTGGCTGTTGCAAACCCCAGTGGGTCATGCAAGGTCATCCTGGGTCATGCAAACCCCATTTCTTTCTGTTAGCAGTGCCCTCCGCACTGAGTATGACGCTGCCCTTTCCAGTTTGTTTAAGAAGCGTTCAAGCGCTGTAAGCATAGTGGAGCAGTCACAGTGTGTTGAAGGACATTGAAGGACAAGCAGTTTGCGCTCTAATAAGATCTAATAAGCCAAAAAACGCTTTTGTTCACCCATCATTTAGTGTTTAGCCGTTTAGCAAGGTTTTGCCACCCCTCACTAGCACCTAAGATTTCTGTCGCCAACCAATTTTCCGCACTCATACCGCCAACACACAGATCAGCAACACCAGTTCACCAACATTCGTATCACAAGCATTCATGTCACTATCACCAGGAGCACAAACACTCACTGACTCACATCTCACCAGCAACAATCATTATGCGCTACAAGGATTGGAGGGGACGGGGGCAGGCGGTTTGTCCAGCTTCAAATTGAAGCCTGATTCTTGCCATGTTTCTTGACACGAAGCCAAGTCTATGCATACAGCGCAATGTTTGCAAAGCCCCTATTCTTGGTGGCGTTGCAAAGCACATGTTCATACGTTCAACGCTTCTAATGTGCTTGCCCATAACCCGCAGCATAACTTGAACGTCGCCAGGAGGGGAAGGAAGAGCTTCCTTGCAAGTTGAAGACGCTGGACACATCAGAAGATTCGCCCAGTGCTTTAAAAGCATGGCTTTCGGAGGACCAGCGGCGAGCGAGACGCGCTGAGGTCAAGTGATGGGACAGTTCTTGCAAGCAGCATTTTGACGCGCTTTAACAATCGACAAGAACTTTTACAGTAGGTTGTGTAAAGCACTCCTCCTTTACAGCCCAAGCGAGATCCAGCCTCGGGTTGGTGCAAGGAATCAATTGACCCTTTAAAAGCTCTCAGTCACAATTTCTCCAATTCTCAACTTGTTTTGCCACCGCGGAGCAGTTGATTGCGCCCTTTTCATTATAACCTAAAGTCTTCGGACTGCTGTCGGCTGTCGGTCATTTGTTTGCCTGCAGCTAGGAGTTCCAACGACACATCGCTGCACTTCGTGAGCATCTTGATGAAGCCTTTGACAAGCAGCTCCAGAGCCAAAGAAGCCACTTGGTCCAATTCTAAAAGAGATGGAGGTTCGCTTCGTCACCAGAACTTGGAGCAAGACCTGCAACTGACAGTGTTATCCGGCTTTTTGCATGTCTCCCTTTCAAGCAAGGTGCGTTGGAGAAGTTGGCATTTGCGGTCAATGGGGAGCGGGACCTGCGCTTGGCAGGAGCTCATGTTGGCCACAATGGTGACAACTTGAGAGAATGCCCTTATTTTAAGCAGATAAAAATGATGTGTTTTGCTTTGGCATGTGTAGTCATTGAAAGATATGAGAACAACATGTTGTACGAAGGAGCTCGCATTGAACATTTAAACATGTGACAGGATGGTGTTTGTCAAGGATTCCTCATCACATTGCAGGACTTTGCTTTCCTCCGCCACGGTTGCCCATGGCTCCATCAACTGAGGATCCTCCAGCAAAGCTTGAGGCCGAACCATTTTGCCGCAACTCAACGTAGCTCAACACTTCGATGTATCAGCATACTAGCCAAGCTTAGATTGATTTGACTTGACTTTACAGTACCTGTTTCATTTACGAGTTCTGCATGGTTATGCGAAAAGCGCTTCAAATCTTTTACTTAGCTGGACCTCTCAGTTCAAGGATCACTTCTTTCACGAGGGGTAAATTTAAGCAAGGCGCCTGGCCTAGATACAGAAAGGACGAGAAAGGATGATATGGCGGCAAGTAGAGGGCTCTTTTGCCACCTTTAATCAGCCAAAAAGTCTGCTTGATCCTGGCGATACTCAACATTCTCAACCCTTTTGGAGCATGAGCATGCGGCCTGGTGAGGCAATGTGAAGCCATAAACAGCTGAAAAGGCTTTTGGTCTTTTGGAAGTCCCAGAAGTTATACACCCAAAAAAAACCGTTCAAAGTTCAAACCGCTGTCAAGTCTGTGCCCAGAAAGGGCACTTCTTTGTCAGCTTTATCGGTGCCAAAGGCAAAATACCTCCTACATCTTTGAAAAGACATGCAGTACCTTTGTCACATCCTTCTGCCAGCTGGCGCACAGAACCCCAGGAGTGGCAACAAACATGGTTGCCTGATAATGGTTCCTGCTTCGTCCACTTTCAGTAGGCACCCCCCGCCTCTGTTGTTTCTGCATGCTCCTCAGGCTTCAAGTTCGCCATAGTGTTTTAGGGACCTGCGCGGCCCACAAATCTGGTTGCAGTGGTTAAGGTCCAGTGTGCGAAAGGACCTAAGAGCAGTTGTGGGAAAGTTCCTGATTGCGCTTTGCATTGCCAGAAGGCCCATAAATTCATACAGGGGCTTGCTTGACATGCACACTTGTTGGTGTCGTTGTTTTCAGTTGCGAGTGCGCTTTCCAATTTGTTGCCTGAGGATCTCCTCACATGTAGATCTCAAACTGCAACAGACAGGAGTGCCTTCAGGTCAACGCTTTGAAGGAAGCCTCTCTCACCCTTGAGCGATCTGGTTCCATTTGGGTTGGGTACATGCACATCCCAGTTTTGTGGCACAAAAGTTTGTGCCCAACCTGCTTCGTTCAGATTTGCACCACTCAATTGGCTCCGCTTGCTTTGTCGAGAAGCAAACGATGCGGGAGCGCACACATGTATACTGTATACTGCCTGTCAGAACAGAGTGGCCTTTTGTTTCTGTTGGTCGTGTTTGTGCGTCGGATTTTCGGTGAGGGCATCCCTTGTTGCAGGTTCCTGGCGAGAAGCCGGTCGACTCAGCGAATGCCCCGGCCACCAAAACTCCCGCAGACACTGTTGAAGGCCATAGGATTTCATGTTGCTGTCAAGACGAAAGGTGTTGCAAGCTGTTCAGATGCCTTGTTTTTAAAGCAGGCCTGCTTTTGAAAGCTTGGAGTTTTGTGGAGACAAACCTCCGAATCAGAGACGTTCGGTGAGGGAGTCATGGACCAAGTCAAAGAAGCATGTGCAGAGAACTAGTCTGTAGAGCAAAGAGCCAACAAAATCGGTAAGATGATTCAATTATGTTAAGATGTAAATGATGCCCCTGTCCACAGGAGGACCAGCAAGTTCAAAGACGAGCTCAGGCGCGAGTGCTCCGAAGATAAATTAGTGGCTCTATAACTCTGTGATTGGTTCTTCTTCCGGAATTTGCTGCTCCAAATGTCCCAAGACTCGCCAGTCCCAGTTCTTTGAACCTGTCACAACCCGCAGGAAGCTCTTGCATCCAATCGCAAGGCAACGAGGTCCGGGAGAGACCGAAGCGAGGATTTGGCCGATACGAGTTGTCGGGGTTGTAGAAAAGATCCTGGCGAAAAGACCTTCTACATTGCACCGTGCTTGAACCCTTGTTGAATAGTTTATGGCAAGATCTACACACTACACATCTAGGAAGACTTAGGCTTTTTTGGGTGGATTGTCCGCCTACCTTTGGGTGTTGGTTATTTCACCAACACCGCTTTTGCTCTACAGGAGAAGGACCCGGAGCGACGGCCCTCCCGCATGCAAGAGGCACAGGGGGGGGGGTTGGCATGTTGCAAAAAAATGAACGGTAGACCAAAGGAAGAAGGAACAAGAAGTCAGAACAGACTGAAGAAACTCCCCAAAACCTGAAGAAACTAGCAAGAATATCAACCAGCCTGAACAGATAGGGTTTAACAACAACCTGTCATAAAGAGACATCATGTTTTGCTTTTGCGGCTTTTGCATTCCATTTGCACCATTAACTACATCCAGCCATCCAAGCGACATTTTTCGAGTTTTGGGGTGGGTTGTTGGAGGTGTTCCGGTGTTCCTACATTTTCTGGCAGGTGTGGTCCAGATGTGGTGTGTGTGTGTGTGCGGCATGCTTATGGCCTTCTGGCTGCCACGGAATTGATGATGCTTTATGCTGCTGTCCAGGGTACTTCAGCGCTTGGAGCGACTAGAATGCGACTATAAGCTTTCAAATTCCACACTTACCATGCACACCTCCTCGCGTCAGATGTGCATCCAGGGGCTGCTGCTTCTCCAATATGTGCCCCCCAAAACAACTGCATCTTACAACTAGTCCCCTGACCAAGATACGAAACCGTCTTGCACCTGGTTTGGCCTCGTGCAAACTGCAGCAAAATGTAGGTCTCACTTTGAGGTCTAGAAACTGCAAACTGTTTGCAACGCTGCACAGCCCAGCCCAATACTGTCAGTTTCTGTTTGCCCTACTCGTATCTCACAACGGAGACTGTGACTGTTAGTTTCTGCTGTTTGGGTGAGAGCAGAGTCTGGTTGCTTGTGATCCTCCCGCCTTGGTATGTGTATTACCCTCGATGGCCCAAGCTGCAATGATCCTCATCCCAGCTTTCCCCAAAAGTCCAGGAAGAGCACTCCCAAACAATTGACTTTCTTGGCAGCATTTTGATTGCCAGGCTTGGAAGAAGTCACAAGAATCAGAAAAACCACGTCGAGCAGCATTTTGGGTCGCATTTGGCAAAATTGACAGCTGCAAGAGTGTATGGAATGTGAAAGACAAACCTGTTTAGACGTAAACATGAGGCGCGTAGACATGTCGAACATGGCTGCTCAAGTATTTTTGATCCTTGCCTGAGTCTCAAATGCTTGGAACTACGTACAGCAAGCTGGTGACAAGAGTTGAGATTGACATCAAAGAATCAGTGCCTTGGACATTGTAGACTCCGTCAACTAACAGAACAACAGATTCAAGAAGTATCAACAAGTATTGTATTGAAGCAACGTGTATCTTCGCCTCTCCACCAACCCAAAATGAAGGTTTGAATCATTTTCAGACCAGCTTTAGGTCCTAAGGTCTCCCAGGCAAAGCATTTGTTTGGCTCAGGTAGTTGATGCTATTGTGAGTGTCTTAGTGGTCTCTTGGCGGAGTTGATTGCATCTTCCATTCACGACGGCTGCCAAGGCTTGTGATTCAGTATGGAGGTGTGATTACCGCGGAGCTGTTTCATCCCCCTGCCTAGGTCCCTGCTAGTCCCTACTAGTCCCATTTCCTTCCTGTCCAATATGTTCTCCAAAGACGTCTGTGTGTGTGTGTGTGTGTCAACACCTGTTTCCAAGGATCTCATAACTAACTTACGACACTTGCAATCGGCATACTTTGTGATACTGTTCCACTCGGTTCTGTTTTCATGCAGCAGGGGGCACCTGGAGCAGAGATAGGGCAGGTGCCAACGAAGACACCTATCTCTTGCTCGTGATTTCGACGGGAGACGTCCTGTCGACGTACCTGCGGCCTATTGTTGAACTGTTAAACAAGCTGTCCAATGCGTTGTTTTCCTGAAGTAACACGGCTAATGCACTTCCAAACTTTGTTAAACACCTACAAATCTTTTGACCCAGCCACCTTTCGGTTCTCGTTCCTTCCGTTCCATCAAGTCAAGGGGAACTTCATACTGATACTAGCTCTTGCGAGCATCCATCTAAGTGTGTTTTCGCCACAGGGTCCCACTGAGGGCTGTGGTGTGATCCCCGGCAAGGGGCGCAGCATGTGCATAGACCCAGATCCTGGGGGATTGCTTCCACGTCGGCATTTCGTTCGATTTCCCCTGATGGACTGCTTTGCGCGATACCACTGATCTACGCCGCAGGGCCTACTGTGATCAAAATCTCGAGAATACGTCACCATTGAAACATGCGTCTAAGTATTCACTTGTACAGTTCTCAGAAGAGGTCATCCTAGGCGGGATCCAGCATGATACTTCAGGCACGGTATGAGGTCCACGCACTGGTACCACTTTTGCTCCGCACTTCCATCGTACGGCTTCTATTGCGACGCCATGAACTACCAGAAGATCTCTCAGCCCTCCCCCACACCAAGTGCGCCGACATCCTATGGTCCTATGTCACAACCGACCTCCGTGGTGGCACCATCAACTCCGTACGGCACAGTTCCCACCATGCAGATCCCACTGCCTCAGATCCAGCCAGTTCAGCCAGTTCTACCTTCCCCACAGTTTCAATACACTCCCACTTTACATCCACCGACCCTGTCGCCCCAGATGAATCCCACGCCAACTACACACCTTGTTCAGATTCCTTCCACATTTCACACCCTACAGCCGTCCCACCAACCAGACCCAAGTCTTGCTTGGAGTCCCCAAACCCTGATTGTTGCCCCCCAGTCCTATTGGCCAACTCACCCACAATCCGTTTCGCCTATTGCAACTCCCACCGAACCTCCCCCATCCACATCCGCACCCCTTCACCCCAGTCAACCCCCCACCGCTGCTCCTCCCCACCAGCAGTTCCTGCCGGGCAGCCCCAAGCTCCTCCATTAAGCACATCTCCAGACACAACCGCCACACCAACTACCACCACGGGCCTCACGGGCACCACCACGACTCAAGATCACCCTTCCACCAACCCCAACCCACCACCTGCAGCAACCACACCTGCTGCACCCGCCGCCCCGGCCACCGCCGCCACACGACCACCGCCACTCCATATCACAGTTCCTACGCCGCATCCGCCCCCCAAACAACCCTCACTCGCAATCCCAACACCGCCACTACCGCAAGCCACGCTCCGTCAAAGATCGACTACCACTACTTCCACCACCACCCCCAAGAGCTCGGCCGCCCCCGGTCCCAAACCACGTCCCCACACCCGCCCCCACCCACCCGCGAGCCCACCACCCAAGCGCGGCGTTTGGGCTCCACCACCTTTGATCAGTTACAACACCAGGGCTCGATCTCGCTCCCCTCACCGCTCCAACATTCGTCTCACTCCCAACCCTCAGCGCTCGGATGCCACGGCCTCCGGCTCCACCCCAGATTCCGCCAACACCCCGCATCCATGTTGCCACCAGCACACGCACCGAAGCCGCTCAGCCTCATCGACGGCCTCTCAATCCCTACACCAAAACCGATCACGACAATGCCAGCCACACCCACGGCACTGATACCTTCAACCGCATTCTGCACTACCTACATCACCAATGCGATCAGCTCTCGGACCGCAATACACCCATGCTGAGCTATGTCGCCAAGGTTCTCACCAACGCTGGCATTCTTGCCAAGGACCTCGGGATCTTGAGCAGTCCGACTGGGACAATGACGCCAATGTATGCCACCACGAAGTACTTTTCCCTCTATATCCCTCGCCTCCAAGACAAAAATCGTGTCGACCACATTCCTCGTCGTCGCAGCCAAACTGACACCCAACATGGCACCGTGCATGCGTTTGCATGCCATGCTACGGAAGAGGACAATTTACTCAATATCTCCTTCAATCCGGACGCTTCAAACCCAGTACACAGCACTCCCCCCATGCACAAGGTTTCTATGCCCACGGTTACGAAACCACTGGGAAGCTGATCTACGACGCCTGGCACACAGCCCGAGTCATTGACAAGAACTGCCAGATGGCCAAGAACCGGGCAGGTATCATTCTTCACTGCATGGCGTGGGGAACTGGCAAGAAATTTACCCATGGAGGTGAATCTGAAGGAGAGCGTGTTCTCGCGGCAGACCATGGAGTTGTCAAGCATGACAAAGGAAAATGATACATCATCCATCCGGACAACGTCGCGATCCGTGGCATTGCCTGGGAATGCAACGCGACCCCACCACAGTCTTTTTTGCGATACCAACCGCTGGCTGTGCGAAAAAAAAAAGGAGCGAGATTTTGCACCCTTACTTGTCGGTCGCACTACATTCCCTCGGTTGTCCCATTCCCATTCCCTCACCATCCTCCCACCCCTATTCAGTTGCCCCGCAGAAGAAAGATTTTCACTTTGACTATGACGACCACATCCTATTGCAGTTTTGGATCCATTCCCAACCTCCTTGGGACGACTTTCGCTCCGCTCGCCATGGTCACTCGCTCTACATTACCTGGCCCCAATCCTCAATGTGACCGCATTGCTCAATGTGTTTCCAATGTGGCCTCCACCCTACGGCTGGCCGCCTCTTCACTAGATGAGATTCACGACATCCTTCGCGGACAACCTCCGCCAGCTCCTACGATGGGATATCCACCGGTTTTGCAGCGCTTTCTGGCTCCCATGCAACCCACCAGTCACCCAACTCCACCTCCCACAGCGACCCACCATTTTCGTGGGAACCTTCGACCAATTGCTGCACCTTCACAACTTGGTGCTTCCACCAGCGACGATGAGCCACCATTTCCAGATGACCCCATGTCCCCCACATTCCATCATCCTTGGATGACAGCGATTGCTCCTCGGCACCGGCCATACCTCCTCCAGCCAAACGACCTCGTGCTCCTCGTTCCGCCAAAGCCAAAGCCAAATCCAGCCCATCAGCACCGACTTCGGCGTCCGCCAAACGCCGTTCTCAACTATACCAGGAACTTCATGAAAACTGGGACTCTTGGGAACCATGGCAAGAGGAACAACTTGTCGACATGAAGACCAACGCTAAACTACGCCCCAGCTGGAACTTTATCGCCAAGAGGCTCCAATGTACACCCGCTCATCAGAGATTCTATCACTCCAGGACACCATGAACGGCGACCACACTGATGCACCGCCGGCAGATCGCATAGACTCTGGAAGTCTTCTTGAAACACCCGCCCCATCATCGCCAGCGATTCACCCCCTTGCCTCCTTTCCATCCGTGGACCAGAGCCACGCCGACAATCCGCTTCCAGATCCTGAACATACGACTCTGACCACTTCGGCAACCCCATCACTGGAACCGCCAGCTTATATGTGGAGCCACCTCACCCTGGTGAACCTGAAGTACTCACTATGCCTTCGACACCATCGACTACCAGTGCTCAGGCCCCATGCTTCTTGACCGCTCCTGCTCCGGATGCTCTCCCCGGTTGATTTTCACTTGTCTCACAATTCTGATCCTCAACGCTTGCTCCACTCGCGAAAAAAGAGCACCTCACCGCTGTCCAGCTCTACTACCACCCTCTGCCGCACGGATGAGCACGATGTGATGGTCGTCAAGAAACCTCAGCCGCGAAAACAAGGTCACCTACATACCGCGAACACTACGTCCTCCAATCCTACCAGTTTCGCTCCTCATGCATTTCCAGATGATGCGCTTGATCCTTTCTCAGCATCTCTTCGAGTATGGAATGCCATGCCTCAAGAAGCTCGCCGAGCCTTCAGTTACTTTTTGAACTACCCAACACCTCCGAGCAGTCCACGACGATCCTCTCGTTCTCCACGCCGATCGGCCACTTCGTCCAGCGACCTTTTCCCTCAAAACGAACAACTGCCAGAAGGCACTCCGTTGGTGACCTCTACATCCTCCTCTACCTCTTCTGAAGACATAGCACCCTCCTAGCCCACAATTGACCGAGATTATGTCTTCGCGGAAAAACTGCATTACCTGCCATCCACACCCCGCAGATTTTCACCCGTACAGATTCTTATGCGTCGCCCACATCCCTCTCCCTCTGACCCCTCCCCCATCCCAAACACAAATCGTTGCGCCCCACCCCTCCCTCCATGCCGCTCTTGTCCGCAGCCCTTTCATGTTCAAGCTTAAGATCCCGGTCTTTTTCGCTCGACAACCCTCGCACTTTTGTTGATCATCCAAGCCATGACCGATTCCCAGGTCTCAGCCCAAGCCGCGACCAGCACCTGGCGCACTTCATGAACGCCAACATGAACAGCACTTTCTTTCCCACCAAGCAACGCTACTTCGACACTTTCCGGCGCAACCTTACAAAATGGCTTCGACATCATGGACTTCCGACCACTTTATCCCACCACGCAGACTCTTTTCTCACCATGCAGTAACCACCACAACCTCCAACTCCACCACGAGGATCGCTTCACGGCCAGATCCGTCAAAAAATTGCAGGAATTTCTGGGCGACAAAGTTGCCCTCCATCATGCCGATCACGAACTACAACATCTCCGGATCTTTTGCC